AGACAAATCTTTGCAGCTGTATAGTGTCGATTGAACTGTGAGTAGGTGACTGTGTGTCCGAATAATATTCTCAGGAAAGCTCTGTGAACTTGGTCATGCTGGCTGACCTTACGAAGTTAGGGACAGCGCATTCCAAGTACATTTTGGATTGCATCGGCAGCATCAGTGAGAATGCAGCCGCATTTCCCCGAAGTGCAGTCGCCTTGGTGCACCTCCCGAACACAGGTGTCTGGGGGTCAACGTACCTTGAAGGGGACATCGAGGCTGCCATGAGCACCGTCGATGCAGAGCTGAGGGCCGAGTCGACTGCATTGCAGGTCCGCAAGTTGCAGGTTGTTCTTTCTGAATCCTCGCTGGCAACGCACTCCAAGAGACCTGGGTGCCATGAGCTGGCCATAGCAATCTCCAACAGCAAAGATGGGGAGGGTGAGCTGTTGAGCAGCTGGGCCAAAAGCAATGCTTGGGTCAGACGATGCGTCACGGACGTGCCAGCAAGCTCTATGGCAGACTGGGTCGTGCCCGACGTGACTTCTGCAGGAGTCACGAGCAAGGCGCAAAGATTAAAACAGCAGTTCTCAGGCTCGCAAATGCATGGCCGACTGCTTCGGAAGCTGTGGCAAGGCATGCCTCCTGCAGCAACTACTGCGCCCACCCTCTACATAGACTTCTTTGCATATGATTCGACCCCCATGCAAGCTGTGACGGGGTTTCTCCTGGAGCCGGGAGCCACGCCCTGCCAAATTCTCAGCTTTATCTGGGCTCGTGATGACAGCGGTTCAGACAACCGCGGAAGCATTCAAGAATGGCTCCACAAATCCTACACTCGCTTCCTCTCCAATCTGCTGAAGGAGAACAAGACTTTGTTGGTGCCGTTCGGCTACCAGCCCTCTGAGTTCAAACAGCAGCAAAAACCAAACTTGGACATTGCCGACTACTTCTACACCATGCCAGTTCAGGGGGATGATGGTAAGTGGACTTTGCCGTTCAATCAGGAAGTCTTGGACTCTGAGAGCCTGAAGTTTACCAGGTGCAGCGAGGACTTTGCTGCCCTTCAAGCATCTCACAACAAGATCTACAATCCGAGCGGCAAAGCATGGGTGGCCAAAAAGCGTCCAGCGGATGTGGCTGGCTTGCCTCCTGGTGGTTCGAAGAATGAAAGCCTTGCCCTGCAAGAAAGCGAGATGAAGCTTGATGACCTGCCAGACCCTGTAGTGAGCATTCCGAAGGGGAAGTTCGAGATTGTCATTGACCACAATAAGAAGTTGTGGCTGAATGCACTGCAGGACTGCGAGATCAGCTCCAATTGCTTCCTTCTTCTTGCCTGGGGTGAGTATCGCACTGGGGATGAAGTCACAGCTCGCAAAGACAAAGGTGCAATCTTGTGGCAGGCTGACTTGACCAAGGAAGATGCCTACTTTTTTCATGACTCCTCCGACAAGCTTACTCCGCCATTTGAAGGCCGCATTGCAAGCTTGGCCACGTTCTTGACCTACCTGGAAAGCAAAGGAGTGGTCAACCCAGATGTGGTGGCGCACAAGATTTCGGCCCTCGTTTCTAGGCATATTAGCAAATCATGTTCCACTAGGCTGTGATGTTAAACTTTGCAATGATGCGGCAACGTCCAGTCTAAGGAGAGTGGTGGCTTCGATATCAAGGCCACTGAGGAGTGGGCGTTCGAGTTGAAGAAGCTCCCAGCCAACCAAAAGGCAAACGAAAACAATGCTGCCTCCTTGTTGACCGATCTCAAGTTCCCGGATGTTAGCGATTACTTGGTGGCTCGCAAGCGCATGAAGTACATGGACACCAAGCAGCAGGTAGGTATTTTCCCGCAGAAGCCCGGCATTTTCCTCAAGGGCGATGTGACTGTCAAGCAAGGGAAACTTTATCCGTTGAGCTGAGCTCCGGAGTCGGACTTGCAGGAAGCAGTTTTGCAGGTCTATGGAAGACACCAAGCCAAAAT